CCCCCCCCCGCGGGAGCCGCCAGCTCTCCCCAGCCCCGCCCCTTACCCCGGATTACCTGCCCGGGTGTACACGCGTCCGTAGGAATGGGGCGCCAGCGCTTTGCTGTGGGCTGGGATAAAGCGAGTTGAGGCTCAGTCTGGAACAAGAGCGTCTGCACGTGGAGTGACCGGCAATGGCTAATCCATGAAATTCGCACCCTGTTACTTTTCTTGGACAGTCAAGGTCCTGATCAGTCCAGCCAGGGTGTAGGTGCCCTCGCTCTGCAGCCCGGGGCAGCCCTCCACCGAGGCTTTCACAAACTGCGCACACTTGAGTTCTCTTAATTCGGTCTGCCTGGCCTAGAGCGGCCTTCTTTCTTTTGTTCATGTATTCCCTGGGAGATAAAGTAGGACGTGCTCTTGGTTCCTGGTTATGCAGGCTGATTAATTTGCTCTTTGCTCTTTTAAAGATTAGCCTTCACCTAAGGGTATTTGTAGGTGCTCCATCTACAACAGAACCTGGGATGTCCTGGTTAAACAACCCGCTATGTCTAGTGAAAATCTATAAATCAACAGCCAAAGACTTTCCTATGAGCAGATCCTTCCACTACAAACACAAGCAGGGTGAAACTATAAAATTAGTGACATTTTCTGAAAACCTTATTCCTAGTAACACTAATAGAATAGAACAAAAAACTAATGTTTGTGGCAATTATGAGCAGTTGCAATGCCATCATATAATTATATATTTTTGTTTTGCAGTTTTTCTCTCCTTCAGATAATGTTATCAAAAAATACAGCTTCTGAATTTTTTCCCCAAAACTGAGTTTATTATATGGTTTGGAAGAAATCCCTGTGAAATAACCTTTAAGGAAACATTTAAGACGTGGGCTTACAAACAATGGAAAAATACGCTGTGTTAAAAGTACTTGGAGAGGGATCCTTTGGGAGAGCTCTTTTAGTTTTTCATAAGAGTAGTGACCAGAGATATGCAATGAAGGAAATAAGACTTCCCAAGGTAAATCTCCTTTTTTATATCTTAATCACCTTTTAAAAATTCACTATCCCCTCCAACATGGGTAGGCAAAGACTATTCTTGAGAAACAGGATTTCAGAACTTAGGCCTACATCCTCCAGTGGTATTTAAGTGCCCTCTTCCTATAGTTAGACATTTAAATACCTTTGAGAATCTCCATCTTTAGTCAGCTCAGTGCAGGGTTTCTTCATTGGGAGATAAAGGTGTTGAGACTCTCATAATCTGGCCCTGAATAAGTACTGCAGGACTGAAGATGTTATGGTAACTAGTAAAGACTGACCAGCATCACATTTGTGGCAGAAGATGGCACATGGGAAGTTATATAGAGTTAAATCCTGGTTCTACTTGCAGTCAACGGCAAAATTCTTATTGACTTCACTGGGGACAAGCTTCACCATAGTATTTAATACAGGGGTGGGCAATAATTTTTGATGGGGGGCCATTCCAAGATTTCCATGATATTAATAGAGATGTGGGGTCTGGAATGGAGGTTGGGATGCAGTAGGAAGCTTGGGGTAAGGGATTGGAGTGCAGGAGGGAGATTAGAGTCTGGGAGCGAGTTGGGATGAAGCAGGCAGTTGTGACGTAGGGCAGGGGACTGGAGTGCAGGGGTTTGGGATGTGACCTAGGGTAGGAAGGGATTATGATCTGGGGCAGGAGATTGGGATGCCAGATCTGGGAGGGAGTATAGCTTAGGTGTAAGCGGGGGGTCAGAGGATTTGGGTATGTTGAGTGCGGGTGGGAGGGCAGAGAGTTGGGGCAGGAAAGGGCTGGGGTCAGCTTGTCAGCTGCCAAACTTGCCTGCCTGCCTGCAGACTCAAAATGTTTCCTTGCCTGGCCACGTACTTCATAAATAACTGAGCAAAGGAGAGTGGGCGTGAGTCTTCTTAGCTGCTGGCAGCTCCTATTGGCTGATTTCTGCGAGAGGCTGGTGGCTTGGTGGGCCGCATCCAGCCCATGGGCTGGATTTTGCCCACGCCTGATTTAATATATAAAGAGGAAGTAGGTTGCCATCGTTGATTGTTGCTGAAATTTAATTATGACTTGCTTTTCATTCAATTATCCAAGAAAACTCAAAAATTATTTTTCACAGAGGTCTTGGTTATACCCTAGTTAAAGTTAAATTTATACTAAGGCACATTAAAATAATCTGATACAAGTTCTGATAAACCTTGAATTGTTCCAGAGATAGGAGGTGCTGCTGCATTACCTTGTTCTGCTGAGGGTCTAATAGAAAATCATAAAGTGATGTAGCAAGGTGCCCTGTCTATTCAAAATGCATACAGAATGGCTCTAAAATCCTTACAATCTCTAGAGATACAGATCTGGGAAGTTTATTTTGTGTGCTATTTTTCACTTTTTGATTTTATAGTAATGAATGGAGTTTTAAAGTTTCTAAATGGATGGCTTTTAAAAGTTGTTGAAAATAAATAGATGTCTAGTGCTTCAGAACTAATATTAACTTTGAAAATGATGTAGCATGTGTGAAGATTTATTATTGCAGCATTTGTATAACTATACTTATCAATGTGTTTTCAGTCTCCTTCTGAAGTACAGAACTCAAGGAAGGAAGCTATTCTATTGGCTAAAATGAAACATCCAAATATTGTTGCCTATAAGGAATCATTTGAAGGTAAATATGTAGTTTTTCAGAAATTATCTATTTGCATTATTTAGATTTCAAGATCTTATTACATTTGTAAGCTTTGGTGTGGCCTGAATTTTTTATTTACATCTACTTGTACAATACATAGTACATAGTTGATGCTACATAATAACAATGATATAGTTAGTAAGCTAATGAAATTACTAATTAGTCTTAAATTACTTAAAATTTAGCTGATGGACATCTGTATATAGTGATGGAATACTGTGATGATGGAGATCTAATGCAAAAGATTAAATTTCAAAGAGGAAAATTGTTTCCTGAAGATATGGTAAGAAAAAGAAACAATCTAAAGACAGCCATAAAAGAATATTTCTTCATGTGAACTGATGATCCTCAAATGCAGTATTTTGAAAATGACCAGGCTGGTAGATAACTGACTGCCAGGTAATCAAAGGATGTTGCAAGTATTCCCTTCCTTAGTATTGTGTGAGGTATGTGATACTGTAACAGGTTTACTGTCCCAGGTGGTGGCACTTAGACCACGTAGAGCAAGAGAGAAGAACAAGGGAGCTCTGCAGCCAGCTTGCTTTATAGCTTAAGTGGTAGAGGCTCCTATACTAAGCTCCAGGGGGCCTAGGTTCAAATCTGCACAGTGGTGGTGGTGTGCAATACAGGCAGTCCCCGGGTTACATGGCTCTGACTTACATCGGATCCCTACTTACAAACAGGGTGAGGCAACCCCGCACTAGCTGCTTCCCCTCAGCAGACCAGGGAGACGCGGAGTGGCTTTTCTCAGCAGACACCTTAGCTTGAGAATAAAGGACTGAGGGAAGTGAGGGGTGGGAGAATAAAACTTAGCTCTGGAGAAATGTTTGGCTAGAGTTTCCCCTACAATATGTATCAGTTCCGACTTACATACAAATTCAACTTAAGAACAAACCTACAGTCCCTATCTTGTACGTAACCCGGAGACTGCCTGTACTGCTGTCTTCCGTTCATCCTGCTCTCCAAAATAATAGCACTAATCGTGGTGTTTTGGAAAGCGGTGGCAACATGCTAGACAAATACTACACAAGACTGGCAAACTTGCTTGTAAAAGTGTCACTTTCAGGAGTAGTACTTTATGATTTGATTTAAAAGAAAATTAATTGTGCTGCTGTTTATGTGCATACATATATTTGTATGGTTTATGTATGTAAACAGCAGGGCAATGACAATTTAATGTGATTTTTACCTGCTAATAGATGGAAACATCTAACTTCAAATGTACCTGAGATTTCTGAAACTAGGGAAGCCTGTCACCACAGTAAATCTTTCAGGCCTAATTTTCCATTGCCTTGCACCTTGTAGTCATTGGCACCAGTGAAAGTGGATGTAAAATGCTACCAAATCAGAGCAGTAGTAATTAACACTCAATTTTTGCTTGTGTAAATGACTAAACAAAGGTCAGAACTAGTGAATCAGACCCCCCATATTCAAGATTGAGGTTATACGTAGATATAATCTTTATAGCTGTTTCTGAAATAACTGTATGAAGGCTGTTGTTGCCATTAGCAGCCATTATCATATAAAACAAATTGAAAACATACAAAACCCTACAAAACCTGCTTGAAATTAATGAAATTTTTATGTATGTATAATATTGTTCAGACAGAAAAAAATGTCTGTGGATGGGGCAATTTCAGTAATAACAAGGTAAATCTGAGTTATTTGAAAGGCTTTGTACATAGACAACATGTGTGCTGTGAAAAACTCTGCTGCTGAGTTTCTAATGAAAAGTTTAAATTAAAATCTAAAGAACAATGAAGCAGAATTACAGTATGAGGTTGTACTACTAATGAATAAAGAGTGAAACACTCTGATACAAGTGGAGGTATCTATGTGGTCAAATACTAACTCTCATCAAAATTCATTTATGTAATATGTAACTCTCATCAAAATTCATTTATATTTTATATTATTATAATGACTAATATTTTTCATTTTGGAGGCATCTTTACAGTTAAAACTAGAGGGCCAGGAAATGAAGATCTAATTCAGTAGGATGGCTGAGCATCCCAATGATCCCTACAAAGTACATTTAAAGAACGTTTTACTCTTCCTAAAAATATATTGTCTAGTTTACAGTTTAAATAGTCTCATTTAACTCTAAAATTATAATTGAAATGCTTATAAAATGGCTTAAAGGAACAGTGCTTGTTGACTGTCCAGCCTTTATTTATACTAGTATTGAGCGTTTTACTTGCCTCATTGAAACGTCATATATCTTAGCAGTTAACCTCCCATTAGACAATGTAAAGATTTATGTTAAATTTATGCCAGATTTATTTTTAATTCCCATCTTGGAAGGCTATTGACTCTGTAAAGATGATTGTTCTTTGTTCTGTCGTACACAAACTTCATTGGTGGAATGAAAAATTGTAACACATGCAATTGTATTGTTATAACTTTTTAGTCACTTTTTTTCAGATACTTTGTTGGTTTGTACAGATGTGTTTGGGAGTGAAGCACATTCACGACAGACGTGTGTTGCATAGAGATATCAAGTCAAAGGTGATTGGAATATTTGTAATGGCTGTTATTACAAGTTACCAACAGCTCTCTTCCAGTTGGGATAGTCTAATTGAGTGCTGTGGTTCATTTTAATTTTTTTATCTCAGCATGAGAGTATTAAATTAATAAAAGCTTTACCCTCTAAAGAAAACTTACCAACTCAGAAAAAGTGTGTGGCAGTGGTCTGAATACTGAACTGGGATTCAGGAAATCCTAAACCAGTAAGTGGGTAGTCACATGAGCCCATGAAACATTTTATTTACCATTGCCCGTGTGCAGGGTTGCCAGAGTCTGCTGGTTTAGTTTTATTCCTCCCGGTATTACTAAAGTGACCCACAGGTAAAGCAAGGTCACATGAAGTGCAGTGCATGCTGAGTGCATGTAACCATGGGCAGTTGGTGCAGCTGGGGCTGGGGCAGGCAGGCTCCCAGCCCCACTTTCAGACCCGCCCACTCTGCTGAGGCCCCATCTCTCTAAGAGGAGAGGAAGAGACACGAGGAGGTGCGTGGGCATGACCCAGCCTCCCCGGCCCCTAGAATACTGTGAGAGGGAGGCGGTTGCATGGCGCGACTTCTGCCTCCCCAAAGCACTGGGGAAGGGAGCAGGCGGGGAAGAGTAATCAAGTACTTGACTACTCACTTACATCCCTATCCATCACCATATTATCTGAATACTGTATAATGCAGAAACATTTGTTAGAAAACAAGTTTTAAGTACATGAATTATTCTTTTTTTTTTCAATGCAGAATATTTTTCTCACTCAAAATGGAAAAGTAAAATTGGGAGATTTTGGTTCTGCACGTCTTCTTAACGAGTATGTAGATATTGGCCCTGGTTTCAGTGATCTAAAATATATATATTTTATCTTTGATTAATTATTACAGAAAGTTTATGTCACTGCTTTTCATATGGCTTTTTTTTTTTTGTCTGGCAAGTCCAATGGCATATGTTTGTACATTTGTGGGAACTCCTTATTACGTACCTCCAGAAATATGGGAGAACATTCCGTACAACAACAAAAGGTATGCACTTAATTGGTGTTCAAAAGGCGAGATATTATTGTAATATATTATTTTACACTTGGGCTACAGATTGGCTTGGTGTATCAGGAAGACTCTGTTTTAGAACTTGTTCTTGTGGAGTTTGGGAATATTTTGGAGGTAATTATCTCAGTTTTCAGATGGGAAGGACCTAAGTACTTCATGTACTGGACTGTTAAACCCAAAAGTTCAAAAATCACGAGTCAGACCCCTTCCAGATAATTATTTTTTTTAAAGACAAGATTGTGTTTCTCCATTTGCCTATTGATTTTTTGAACTCCCCGATTCCCACCCCTATTTGAGTGTGTGTAATTAGTGTCACCAGCTCTTCCATATTCATTATTGCCTACTCCAGGAGCTCTCACTAGTTGGTTGATGGTGCAGTGCTTCCAGCTTCTTCACAGCCCCCCAAATTTTAATTAATTCCATGCCACTCCAGTGCTGGAGGTGGGAGGCATCTGCCTATCCCCCAGGCCAGCAATTAATTATGTACTGTGGAACCTGAAAGATATGAATATCAGAGTTCTAGACTTACTGGTTAACCTGACACCCTCTGGAACCAGAAGTAATCAGGCACTAGTGGAGACCAGTGTTTCCTGCAAGTTGGACATATTTGCGGTGGCTCAGGAGAATTTTAATTGCCACCCACCTGATTACGGAGCACCCATGGCCAGGTTTTTTTGTTTTTGTTAGTGGTGCATATTCACACATGCCTCGGTGCACGTTCTGCACATAGATGGAAAAAGATTAGAGGGAACATTGGTGGAAACACCAACAAAACTTCTCAAAACAATCACTCCTCTCATAAGTAAAGCTCTGAATCCTGGCACTCCACCTCCTCTGGCTGAAATTGGGAGAAAAGCCATGGGGCTGAAGCCCCAAGCCTTGGTGTGTGTTCCCCACCTTGTCCCCCTGTGGCAGAAACCAAGAGTGAAGCCATGGGTTGAAGCCCAGAGCCTCAGCACTCCTCCCAGATCTAAAACCCTGAGCTCTGATGCTCCCAAAGGTCAGAAACCATGACACCCCGATTGCAACTGCAGCCCTAGCTCCCTCTTTTTTCCCCCACAACTGCAACCCTAAACACCCCTTTCCCCTGTGGCTGAAGTCCATAGTATCTTGTTCAGTGTTACCGACAACTTCCATTCCCCAGGTGCCTGTAACGCTGAGGTTCTTCTTCAAGTGACTGTTCATGTTCATTCAACTTAGGTGTGTGTGCTCACCACATGCACAGTGCCAGAAGATTTTCCCTCAGCAGTATGTTTAGGGGACACTGAACTGGTTAAGCCATGTGAAATTCTACCAGATCTAGGGAGCTCCCTACCCTCTTGCACTAGAATGCTATTACGGTAACATGTACAATTTTACATCACATTATGTTATATGGATATTTCTGTTCCTTTTAAGTTAAATGTATTTTTATTGGCATATAGTTGAACTCTCGAATAATTAACATCTGCTAAGTATGACATTGAATTGTAATAATTGGTTAACTACTTTTTAAATTTTTTTGTATATATATTTCTAGTGATATATGGTCCCTGGGATGCATTTTATATGAGCTCTGTACTCTTAAACATCCAGTAAGTGTACTTATTTTTATCAAAATAATTTAAATTTTGTTTTAGATGCATATAACTTTCAAGTATTAATAAACTCTGAAATGTCATTAGCCGGTAAATGTAGTCGGATGGATTAACGAGTAATCATGTATAAAGGGTTTCTAAGTATTTTCTTCTCACTGAGTTTTACTCAGTTTAAAAAACTAATTATGACAGGCAAATTAGAACATTAATATGTAGTGAGTGTTTTGTTAAATATATAAAAATGGCTATACAAGGTCAGATCAATGGTCCATCCAGCTGTTCTGTGTTGTAATTGAAATAAAAACTATTGAAAATGTAGAAAAACATCAAAAATATGTAATAAATTTTAATTGGTATTGTTTAACAGTGAAAGTTAACTGTGATTAATTGGCAGCCCTAATATAGCAACAGATGCTGTATTAGATTATATAGGATATGAACATATAGTAAATTGAAAGTGGAACTCCAAAAATATTGTTGTTTGTAAAATTTTCATATCTAGAAAGCTTTATGGCCATCACAGTTACAATGTTAAGAATAAGCTGTCACTATTACATCACTACCAGAAATACTACTTACAAAGGTAGTACTGACTATCGGAAACATGCTCATGGCTATGTAAATAAAAGGCAGGAAGGCAAATACTTGCTCTAGTATCAGTAGAGAATTGAGTTTTTTTAAACTCATTGGCCAAATAGGGTACATCTACACAACACCATTACGGGCAGTCCCCGGGTTACGTACAAGATAGGGACTGTAGGTTTGTTCTTAAGTTGAATCTGTATGTAAGTCGGAACTGGCATCCAGATTCAGCCGCTGCTGAAACTGATCAGTTTCAACAGTGGCTGAATCTGGACGCCAGTTCCGACTTACATACAGATTCAACTTAAGAACCCCAGGCGTCCCCAAGTCAGCTGCTGCTGAAACTGATCAGCAGCTGATTCCAGGAAGCCCAGGGCAGAGCAACTCTGCCTCGGGCTTCCTGTAGTCAG